CAGCCAAAGGAGGGCGGCCTCTTCGTCTGCCCCCCCCTCCACGTTCTCCGCGGGCCCCGCCGCTAGCGGCGCCCTGGCCGACGGGGGAGGGCGCATCGGCGGGGGCGCCCGCGCGGGCCCCGCGGCATGCGCTCCGAGGCCAGGCCGCGGCGAGGCCCGCGGCGCCGCCTCGACCTCCCGCGGCGCAGCGCCCAACGGGATCTGCGACGCAGCCGATCCCGCCTTGGGCCGCGGTCCTGGGGGCGCGACGATCGGCTGGGGCGGGGCGCCCGCCCCGTGCTGCGTCGGCTCCCCGGGCGCCTCCGCCGGCGCCCCGCGGGGCGCGAGCTCCGCTGGCTGCATGGGGGGGCCGGCTGCGCCCTGAGGCGGCGGCGCCTGGGCCTGCTGGGGGGAGGTCGCCCCCTGGTGGCGCCACGGCGCTCCGGCGAGGGCGCCCGGGCGCGGCCAGGCGGGCAAGCCCGTGAGAGGGAATGGCACCCCGGGGAACGGCCAGCCTTGGAAAGGCGGCGCCGCCGCCGCTGGTGCTCCGTGCGCGGCAAGCTTCTGGCCTTCTGGCGCCATCCCCGCCGCGCCAGCTGGCGGCCACGGAGCCGCAGGAGGTGGGCCTGCCGATTTCGGCGCGAGCCCCTGCTCAGGACGTGGCCCGCCATCCGCCTCGCCTGAACGGCTGCGCGCGCTCGCTGGCGGCGTTGGACTGCATCCGCGAAGCGCCTGGTCGCGGGCGCCATCCCGGCGGGCTCTGCGGGGTCTGCTGCGGCTGCGGTCCCTGGCTCTGCGGTCACGATCGCGGCGGCCGCGGCTCCGGCTGCGGTCCCTGCTGCGGCTGCGATCCCAGCTCCTGCTGCGACCCCGGTCGCCGCGGCGGCGGCGCCCGCAGCTACGGCTCGCCGTCCGGTCATCGGCGCCGCCGCGCGCAAGAGCCATGGCGGGCGCGGCTGGGGCAAGGAGGGCGGATATCGGCGCCTCGAAGGTCCCTGGTCCGGGGGGCTACGGAGGAGGAGTAGGAGGAGGAGGCGGAGGAGGAGGCGGAGGAGGAGGAGGAGGAGGAGGAGGTGGATGAGGAGGAGGAGGAGGTGGAGAAGGAGGAGGAGGAGGAGGAGGAGGAGGAGGAGGAGGAGGAGAGGAGGAGGAGGAGGAGGAGGAGGAGGAGGAGGAGGAGGAGGACGAGGAGGACGCGGTGGACAGCGCGAAGGACGCGTTTCGGACATTTCTGACGCTCTTTGGGCATCCGGAGGTCCGCAGAGGAGGGAGGGGAGGTGATGGCTGCGCGGGCGGGGCCAGTTCCGCGCCGGCCGTCCCCAGACCAGTCCCGAGGTCGCTCGCCGAAGTCGCGCGGGGAGAGGCGGGGAGAGGGAATGGGGGGGGGGGCACCACGCATGTGCCAGCGAAGCGGCTGGCCGTGCTCCGAGGGGCATTCGTTTGGGGCGCTTTTGGGGTCCCTCTGGTCCTCCAGAGTTGTCCAGAGTTGTCCAGGGCCTTGTGGAGGTCTCTGGGGGCCTCTCGAGACGTCGGAGGCGTCTGGGAAGGGAGAGAGGTGAAGAGATGGGCCCTGGTTGCTCGGCCCACAGTTGCCCTGTGATGTCCCGGTCCGGGAAGATCCTTCTGCTGTGGTTGCAGGTTTCCTGGAGCGGCCGTTAGCACCGTTGTCCTGGCGTCCTCCCGCACGAGAACATCTCCGCGCGCTTGAGCTCTCTAGCGTCTCTCCCGTTCCAGTCGTCATCTCATCGCCGGGGCAGACCGTTGTTTCCAGGATCCGCGCTTCATGACTGACCAGATGGACAGGATGCTGGTGGACTGCTTCAAGAAGATGCAGAGCCTCATCGCATCGGCGGACCGCATGAAAAAGATCAGTGTGTGTCTCAGACCTTGGGTTCTTGATGTGCTTCCAACTGGGTATTCGGAGACATTTTGTATCTGTGCAAGAAGATCAGAATGATCATGAGGAACAGGAGAAGACGGTTGAAGAGAAGAAGGAGGGCGGGGAGGATGATGACGTATCTGATGATGTTGATGATGCTGCTGCTGACGATGAGGATGATGATGACGACGATGACGATGGCGATGGACGATTATATGATGATGCTGATGATGATAATGATGATGGTTCTAATGACGATGATGATGGTGATGATGCTGCTGCTGATGATGAGGATGATGATGATGGTGATGGTGGTGGTGATGATGACGATGAGGAGGATGTAGAGGGGGAATGCGTGTGTAGCGGGCCAGAAGGATGAGCAGGACGAGGATGAGGAGGGGGAAGACAAGGAGAAGGAGGATGAACTGGGGGATTGGGATGACACCTTCTCGTGTGCCAGCGTGTTGGCCTCTAGCCAAGGTGCGCAGATGTCCGGCACAACGTGCACAATCGCCATCCATGACCATTCGAATGACAAGGCGAGGGCTGCTCAAGTCGTTTGCCGTATGACCTCCCCTCTCTCCCTCTTGCCTCTCCTTCTCTGTCCCTTCCCTCTCCTCTTTCCCTCGCCCTTCCCCCATT